TTTCATAGTTTAAAATATGCTTAAATAGTTCTCAAAGTAAAAAAATAGTTCACGATCGAATGTTTACCTTTTCTTCACTGGTCGTTTAAAATATCATTGAACGTGTCAAACTGTTCTGCCCTCTTAATTACGAAGAATCGAGAGCATTGGAAAAATATTTAACTTAATAATTAACCACTACGCGTTTCATTTGCTATAAAATTACGCGAGAATTTTAGGATTTGTGTAAATGTTGTGTATACTGTAGTATGTTAAGTATTGTGATATACGTACCACTGTATGGTTTGACATGAAAAATTGCAAATTAGTAATAGCTAGTATTATAATAATAGTAATTCATAATTAACAGTATAGTATCGCAATTAGTTTTATTCGAATATTGGAATTTGTAAATGGCTTGAGAATTGAAAACGTTCTGGATTGATAAAGATGATCCAAGGATATGTTAAAACCACCACTACATGTAAAGGAAATAACGACGACTGTTTGGTCATCTGCAGGATTTGGTCATTACCATTTCCTACAATCTAGAATTGTAATTATGGCGGGGACACATCATAGACAAACGAATGAAATGCACATGGAATTAATAAAGGAACAAGCCATGCTGGTGAATTTCGTTCAAGAAGCGTAAAGAACGTTCCATCCACTTTATTTACCATGATATTAACAGTATTTCAGGCAATCAAAACAGAGTCCTTTTGCATTTTCTGCACGATACGCGATCGCTTCTTTAATTATTATTAAAAGTGACGAGAAAATTTTTTCACGAGTTTCTAAAAATTATTTTATAGTTACTTTCAAAGATATTTCGAAAATTATTTAAAAGATGTTTCTCAAAATAAATGTTTCGTACTTATGGTAAAGTATAATAATTCATCTTTTATAATTATTTAAAAGTCAGTGTATTGTATATACAAAAATTTGGTTCTTTGTGTGATAAAATAACGTGATAAGGAGAAGTACATGGAAAAGATACAGACATTGAAAACTCGGAAAGGATGAACTCGAAAATAAGAGTCATAAAATTCGTCCCACTAAAACAACACCTGCTTCTCGTCATATTCTTTAAACCGCCAAAGATAACAGAGATCTTAGGTTGATCAAAATATACGAGACACTTCGCTATATAATATAAACACCTCGTTTTACTGTTTTTTAAGATTAGTAAAATTTCTCGAACAAAAACATCCGAAAACCCAAACTGTTACGACCAAAATTAAAAAATAGACTGTAGCATGACAATTATATTTATCTTCGAAAGATTTTTGTCACAAATAATTATTATAAATGTTTTTCTTTTTCCTCTTTTTAGTTATATATGACATTTATAGATTTTAATTTAAAATTTGTTTAAATTACTAATAACTATAAAAAAATTATCGATGACTGGAATTTTATTATGGTTGGAATATCTTCAGATTATCATTGACTGTTGTCAATTTTATTATCAGTACGAAAATTAACAAATTTAAACTTTTATCGAGACCGTATGGAAAGTAAAGAACAGGAGATTTAAATTTTCTCTACATTTCTTTGTATTTCTCATTTCCCCTGCAAAAACTTATCCAATTATCAAAACGTAGAAAAATAATCCGAAAAATAAGCAATGCAACTGAAAAATACATAACCAAAATAAAATTCTGGTTATTCATAATGGTTATTCGTAATCAAGTATACACTTTAACAAAATGTAAAAAAAAATCAATTTGTCAAAACCAGATTACAATAATAATTCTTTAAAAATAATTTCTGTAATCTATCACAATAATTATTTGTAACCACAAAAAATTTATAATTATTTATAACATTTATCCGTAACCAGAATACATAAACATTGAAAATTACATTCTTCCAACAATTTTTTAAAAATTCAATACTAACAAATACCTTCGTTACGAATTATAAAACAAAATTCCAATTAAAAAGAAAATTTTCACAGAATTGACTTATTCTTGCATTTTCCATATACATTCTTCTTCTTTTTACGCGAAAGTCTCGCTTATAATTTTAGCAACCAAAGGCTGGGAAGTGTGAATTCTAAAAAAAGCGGATAAAACTCTCGCGTTTTATAATTACGCACACTTTTTTCTTTTTTTTCTCCAATAGGAAACAAAGTTTCGACTTGTCACGTAGCTCGTTACTCGCGTCACAGCGTTCAACTGGAAGGCCCACACAATTTTCACGATATTCCACGGGAAAGTTTCAGATTCTGCAACTCGACAGGGTGTTGTACAGCTTTCGTTCGCAAATTTGCCGTCGATACAAACTTCAGTCCGACAAAGAAGATCCCGTAACGCGTGGAAGGTAGAGAAATGGTGGGTAGGCCGCGATTAAAGGCGAGGCTAAAATTAGGGGCGAACCGACCGGGGAAAAGTCGCGTGAAAAAGCCACGGAAATAGTTCCTCTTCTGAAGACATCGAGGGCCAGAGATTAGAAGCCCTCGCGAGCCACGAAAAGACCTATTCCGGATCCCTGTTCAAACATTCATGCGGAAGCAGCCGAGGAAGCGTGGAACGGTTCAAGCTTTTACGCGGTTTTCTTTTTCATCGCCTCAGAAAGCGATTTTCGGCGCTTTCTCGCAAGCTCGAAGATAAAAAGCGGCCGTCTTTAAGGTTTACTTTCCTTTCCACTCTTTCTTTGCTTTCCTCCTTTTTTTTGAAATCTACGTTTTCTTAAACACACACGTTTAAGGACCGGGAACGTCTAAAGAGGATATTCCACATAGGAGAACGAAGCAAAATCGATTTTCAACTTTTGGATTCCTTGTTGCAGGTTTTGAAGAGTGATTTATGTACTAAAGGAATCCTTTTGTAACATGGCAAATGTTAAAAATATTTTCACGTTTACACATTTCGATTAACATATCGTTAACTGACAGTCCCAGGTGCTAATGAGTTAAATGACAATTACAAAAATGTTAATCGTATAAGTCAGTGATAAGCAACGTTTCTTTTGTAGTGGACCAAAATTGAAAACTTAAGATTCTACGTGAGCCACAACGCAAATACAATATTAAATATTTAAATGTATGCATACAAATTTCTCCTATACTTCAATAATGCTATGTGCTTGTAATAAATGTACTGTAAATAGTTTACACGTCATTAAACTGTTTTATAATTTTTAATAAATATCCTTGAAACCTATCTCTTATTTAAAATATTTTATTGTTTGAATATTTTCGTAAATATTTGTACATGACATTTAATACTGTTCGCAGATTCTAATAGTCTATTTATTTCTTTATCGAGGCTGCGAATTTGAATCATGAAACAAATTCATGATTACTTTTGGAATAGACACATTAATATATTTCAATATTAGACCATCCTATATGCAATGCGAATTTTCTTCCAAATTTTTGTATAATAAGGCATAAAGCAGAATTAAAATCGATAATTTTTTCTATTCCACTTTCCTTCATTTTCTACGATCTATTATTACCTTTCAATTCAATTTTCAATTTCCTTTTTGTACAAATTTTAAACAATTAAATAATTAATAACTAACAGTTTGTCGAAGCAACGATTAAGGTATAAACTGGATGAATTGTTCTTTCTTAATTAAATTCCATTATTCTCTAATTTCAATAACATCTGCAGTGACTGTGTATAATACGCGTAACTGTGTATAATTTTAATGAAAGATTTCTATTTTGTTGAACAAATTTAGTCATATAGTCTCTAATGTTTATTTCAATTAATCCAGTTGTTTATGGTAGTGGTTAATTATTTTATTGTCCCGTTCGATTTTAGTATTTCAAAGCATGTTATGCTATATCCAACTAAATACTCAGAACTCCACTAGGATCGTCCTTGCGTGTAAACCTGGTTTTGCTTGAGATGCTCAGGATTTTTCTAGGTCCAACCACTGTCTTTTACGATTAATCTTGTCGTATGATATCCATTTTTCGTCTCCCGTCACGATTCAGTCGTGAAAAATGACTCGCGATTTAAACGAGACAGAAGAGGAGAGCAAATACTAACTCTTTGCTGAAGGTTTCCTACGGATAACTCATATGGTGCCCGTTTCACACACTTGCACATCTTTTCTCAAGACACTTCGAATATTCTCAAACGTTAGAACGATTCTAATTAAGCTCAGTAAAATTTGAATTTTGTTCGATCATCGTTAAAATGTTCTCGTCGAATTCTGCACTTTGGTCGTTCGTATCAGGTCTCATTATCGAGGCTGCAATTTCAACTTTGAAACTTTTCAAATCATTAATTTAGTTGGACCTATATAATTTGCCGTAATTATACGTTCTGCATAAACTTCTCGTGGATCATAAACAGTGACCTATATAGCCCATATTGTTGCTCATATCGCATACACAGGCTATACAGTAATGAATATGCTCTTTGCTAGGTTCCACTACGAGAGTTTATGAAAGCTTGGAAACGAAATTTACTCTGTAGAAGTTTTATTTTCATCTATTTCGTTGAAATTGTGAAGTGACATTGAGAAAACTTTTAAATTTGGTAAGGATTGTATACTGAATGACAACCTAATCGATTATACTCATTGCTTTCAAATAGTTAGTATACCAATAAACCCAATTCAAAACTACCACAATCTTATTAATTTCTACATAAAAAAAGTCCCAGAAATAATCTCAAGAAGTCTCGTTTAAAATAGAATAGCCCATCATAAACTTCTAATTTCCCGCAGTGCAAATGGTAACTTTATCCAACGCTCGTGATCTGAGGATACATTGACGTCTCTTAAGCTTGAAAGTTCCAAACTTCCAATCTCTATATCCGGGTTATATTCGAACTTCGAACTCGCAAAGAAAAGAGTGAAAGCAAATCATCGAGACGATGAATAAACGTGGTAAACTTTCGTCGGCACAATGGCGATGCACAATGGAACTTTCATGGAAGCTTTCATTTCGATAAACCAACGCGCGCGCCATTTTGCGAGCGCAGCGGCGACTCTTGTTCGACAAGATGGCCGCTGGGCCCGAGCCGCGATCACGCAAATGAGATTTTACTCACATGGGAGTGTGCCAGCAGCTCCTTCATGACGAAATTGTCGTAGATCTCTTTGGCAAGTTTTCTCCTCTCTTCCGGGCACTCCAGCTTCTCGTACGCCTTGATCTACAATGCATAAATGAGAAATTCCTTATGGAGTTGGATGGCGATGCGTGTCACCACGCTTACTGGACCTTAAATAGTGTGTATGCGGGCTAACACGAACCTCTTCGTAAAACCTAAGTTGCGGAATCGGCTCCTCCGCCACATTCTCGCAGTAGTCTTTGAATAAGAGGTAACCTGCAATCACAAGGTAAGAGGGGAAAAGACAATGCATGCTTCAATCGATTCGACTTTCGCGTCGCTCGCCTCTGTAAGATTAACGCTTATCAGTCAATTATATCTCTGAGGATATAGTTGAAAAGGTAATTTCAAGAGGTGAACGTGATCGTGTTTTACATTACTTGCCTATACAGTAGCCGTAAAAAAGTTACACCGTGTTCTGTCTTTCGAAAATGTACATGGAAGCAACGTGGGTCATCATCGGTGGCTAGTGAGAAATTTTTCACTATGACCGTTCACTATCGTGATTATGAGAAATGTAAGAAGTGTTTTTCTTATGTATAGTAATGCTCGGTTAAATTTACATGGACCATCCCCACTGCAAACGGTGTTTCGAGATTAGTGAAACCTCATACTGATAACAAGGACAGAGAATTGGTGAAATGAAAGAGAGAAAGATATAGTACAAAGAGATACTACTATCGAAAAGTTAAATACGTGGTAAAGAAAATTTTACTTTCCGTAATTTTTATCGTAACTTTTTGAAAATAGTATAAATGCATCGCTGAGATTCTTCGGATTAAAGCCAGCCCAAACACCGCATAAATCGGACCACTATATTTTGTTATAGTGTATCATTTTGCTGGGTACATCAAGTTAATTGTTATAATTAAAATTAGTCTAATCTGTACCGTGTTTGGACTCATT